GTCTTATAATAGTCACAATAGGAGAGAAACAAGCTGTATGTTTTTGAATTTGTGTAGATTATCTACCGACTAAAGTGTACCAAATATGTTCTCTTTCTGTTTTGTGTAATGTATTCTTAATTACCATGTGTAATCATAATTCTCGTCTAAATATAGACTGATTAGTTTTATCATGAATACTGGTGGCAAAGAGAAATTGATTGTTTGTATCCGTAGTCTCAATATTTATTTCCTGTAATGGATAACTTGTGTACGGTATAAGTTTTTTTTTCCCTTTATTATAGACACACGGTGTCTATAGGATGATAGATGAATATACGGTATTTATATTAAAATTTGTTTTAGATATATTGATAGCTGTATACGAAGATTATCAAATAGTTGATCTTCTCTCTATGACTGTAAATAAATAAATCATTGGTTTTTTTATGTATTCATGTAGACAAAAAATCGTTCACTTAAAAATATGATGTAGAAATTATTGAATACATTTCTTGTTTTGAACTTAAACCGACAAAAAATGTAACATCGGATGAATTATGTGTATATGTATATGTCAGTAGTAATGAGAATCTACATGCCAAACAAGAGTGTCTCTAAGCATTATGCCGATGATCACGAACAACAAGTTTTTGTTTAAAAGGAAAAGGATATAAGCCTATAATCAAAGATAAAAACTTGAAGTAGTCAAGGAGAAAGTCTGTATATTTACCAGTGCGCAGTATAAAATCGTTAATTCTTTAACAAGTTGTTGAAGCGAAAAAAAAAGTACTCATTGCACTTTTTTGTTGAATTTGAAAGTTTCAATATTTTAATGAACCTCTGGCTTTTTTTCATGAAGATGATAATGTAGTAGAAAATCAAATTAAATGAGATGGTATTAGTAAATTGAGGATACGGATAATTTTTAAAACAAAAGTTTCTAATGTCCTTGTTGAGTAAAACAGTTGTGATTTTTGTGACAAAATCTGTCGCTTTGTTTAGAACGAATATACGATTTCTTAAACACAATGACAATTTCCTCTTTTGCATAGATATGAAACTTTTTTTAAGATATAAATGATCATTGCTCTCTCTTCGTCTCTTTAAAGAAACAAATAGTAGAGAAGACGAAATAAATATGTTTTATTATGTAATATTTAAGAAATAGATGAACTCGTAGTATCTCTTAAAAGTAATCTAGCTATTGGATTTAAATAATAATACATAAAGAAAAAAAAAGATTGTCCGAAACATGGCATGGAGCAAAAAAAGAAAAGATAGACGGATGTTCGTCAACTATTCATTCATGACTTGTTTTGTGGTATCATATAAAATTATTAGGGAAATATATTTTTATAATGATTAGACAATGAAGTGGAATATGATTTTAAGAATAAAGAAAAATTAAACGAGTAAGTTATTCTGTCCCGAAACATCATGGGTCATTGAGCGAAAGCGACCGATATAGAATTAATTTGCCTCACAGGATCACAGTAGGCAGTTCTGCCTTGTCATGTTGATAACAGAATTATGTTTTTTTGAGAATGTACTTTTTTTAATGAATTATTAACATTCTCTAACCTTTCCAGAACCTTATAAACGAAACATAGACGTTTTCAAAAAATATAAAATTTTTTAAAAAATCACTATGAGCGATCGGAGCGAAAACTTTTGATTGAGATATTTTTCATTTAAAACTCACTATTCTATACATGGTTCGATGCAGTACTATGCGCTGATTCCGAGCATCCTATTGATTTGATAAGAAGAACCTGATTTAAAAATGAACAAGAGAAAGTATGTGAAAAACTATGAGTTTAAGATTCATACAAAACGTTGCTTAAAGTTGCGCGAAATATAAGTCCAGTAGAGCGAGGAGAGTACATGGGTACAGTTCGAGTCAGACAATGCATAAAAAACGGTGGAAACCCTTAGATTGCTAAATAGTTTCTTAGAAATTTTGTTAGCATAAATAATAAAATTCCCTACAATACACCTGTTTAGAAAAAGTTTCCTTTTTTTATTGTTAACCTGCCTAAATCACGCCTTAGTAGTGTGTTCGAACTCAGTATGCTAGTTTCTCAAAAAAAAAAAGAATCTGTACTTTTTGTTCAAATTTGACAATGTTTGATCTATCTGCCTCAATTTTTCCCTGTTTTCGACGTGAATAAGAAAGTTTTTGCTTATAAGGAAAGATAGCTGACAACTCAATACATATTACCATATATCAAAAATAAATTTCTGAATACTTTCACTTTTCAATTAAATGTCTATATCATTACTACTATGAGAGTACCATCTAACCTTATTGTCTGATTTTAAGATTTTACTCTCTGTTCTGTGAGTATACAATTCAGATCTATATCAAGAAGATATGGTATCGATGTTTCTATATAGATGTATAAATTTATTATGTAAACTGAGGAGAAAAAGAGAAAAAAAAAGTAGTCGAGATTCATCTGTTTAAAAGTAAACGATAAGTGCAGATATGAACGTGTATGACGCATATTATTCTTATAAGCTGAGACAATTTGATTAAAGATGAAACAAATCGAGGTTTTGATTGTCTGTGTATATCTATCTATGTTCGAAATACTTTTTAACGGGTAACGCTATTGTTCTGAAGGTATATGCATATATACGTCTGTTCAACCTTTGTATTAAATGTATCTGCATCTATCTATGAAATTGATGTAACACCTATAGAAATGTGAATGAGGTGATATTTCTTAATTTAAAAAAAAGTTTACGTTGAAATCAAGTTTTAGTTTAATTATCAGAGGTATGCACATTTTTCGCATTAAACTTCCAATATTCTCCATTGCATTTAACAGAAACATTTTCAGTATACTTTTTTTGTTTGGTTAAGTACCTATAAGCATGGTTTCATGAACTCACTAACGAAGATTTAGAGTTCGATTCATTATGATACATGGATAATAGTAAACATACGAGTTACACTTGTCTTATCACCAATTATTGGCAGCCTCTTTCGTTGATTTCGCATTCTTCTTCCACAGGATGAAAATGAATGAACCATAGCGAATTGTTACTTTGTAATTTACTTATATCTCCATTGGCGTTTATCCCTAACACTTTCTCTTCTTATTTGAAGAACCGTTGTGAAATTCTCAAAAGAAAACGTACTAAATCTTTTATTACAAAATATAAAAGTGAAAGGTTATATGAGAAATAGTGATGAGACAACTTTCTAAAGTACTTCTCAACTGAATGAAATTTTATTTTATGTGAGAACCCGGGAATCAGTTGCATCAGACAACATCCTCGGATAGTGTCACGTATGCTCTTTCAACAAAGCTCGTCTAAGTCTAATTTGATGTCACCACGAGCCATTTTATTAACATCCTGTGAGGAACAACGCATTTTTAATCTTTTTCACTCACGATATTAGAAGATCATGCAACCAGAAAATTTTAGATAGAAAAGAGTAAAGAATAGATCTTTTCAAGAGCAAAAAAATGGCTAGTTAGATTTTTTTCTCACCTCAGCAGCCATAGAAGTCATCCTTTTTAGATTAGAAAGTTGTCCATTTTACAGCCCATCACTATTTTTCGTATAACGTTCTACTTTCATATTTCTAATAAAACATCCAATACGTATGTTATGAAGGGGATAACAGAAAGTATCACAACAGTCATTTTATTCCCAAAACCTCTTTAAACTTAAACTTCGTTTTTCCTTCTGAACTGAAACTGGTTTTTACTATTTCAATATTCGTACGTATCTAACATACTCGAAACCTTTAGAAAATGCGACACATTAAAAAACTAAACGCTAAGAAATACTTAATAATTATAAATGAATTTTAACACGACTGATAAATAGAGATAATCTGATAGGTAAGTAAACACGTGAAGAGATTCTGATAATTAAATCATTAACATGAATTGAGAGTATGTGTTAAATCATGCTTTGTAGCTCAGGAAAGAGCATTAGCCTAGAAAATCGATACGACTCGGTTTGATTCACGGTTGAGGCATATATTTTCTCTTCGTGTGTTTCGTATCAGATTATCTCTATTTATCAGTCGTGTTAAAATCCATTTCTAGTTCCTGTTTCATACACCTTATGTTAATAATTGTAGTTAAGAATGTGTCAGATGTTTGACCATTAGAGACTGTATCAACTCAAAGTAGTATTAACAACCGTGAATCATAATGAACAACTTGCTCATATCATTGATTTGTTCCATCAAATTAACCTAAGCATCGCTTTGTAACGTTCTTTTCGCTGCTGCGTATAGATAAATAGAGTATATTATGTTTGCTTACAACCTTATAGAATGAATAAAATAAAGATTAATACGTTGATCAGATAACTAGATTTAATGTGTGTTGTAAGTTATATCGCAAATAGAAGATTAAAATCAGTTTCATATTCACATAACAGTTGAACAAATTGGAGAGATATGTGTAATCTCGCTCTCTTCAATCTTGTCTCTTAAACTGACCTTCGTTGAAAAGTAATATGGTTGACAGTAAGAATGAATCTTTAACTTATAAAGCAAACTGCTTTTTTCCGTAGTTCATATGTTTGCAGATTAATTTCGATAGTTTTTCTATTTTCAGCCGTAATGTTGAATAATAACTCGTTATATGTGGTACTTTCTTCGAACAATACTATCAACACAAATGGCCTGTTACAAATAATGTCCGAAAGTGAAAAATTTGTTTTGCCTTTTTTATTGTTGGTTGGTACCTCATGCAACGTGCTTACATTTATTGTTATGCGTGGAGGGCGCATGCGTTTATCCAGTTCCTGTTTTTATATGGCTATGTTGGCTATTACTGACTCATGCGTATTATGGATTGGATGTTTAAATCGTTGGTTAGAATTAATGGAAAAAAGACGACCAATTCTAGCGTGTAATATCTGTTGCAAATTATGTACTTTTTTCTTTTTCTTTTTTGCCGATTGCAGGTAAAATTATTATGAAGATTATTAATCAATATACGTAAAAATAAGATTTTTGTTTTAGTGTTTGGATAACGGTTGCCATGACATTTGAACGGTATATTGCTGTATCTCGTCCACTAAAAGCTAGTCAATTATGTACTATTAAACGTGCAAAATATGTTCTTTCAACAATATTTTTACTGTTTTTTCTCATTAATTCTCATTTTCTATGGACATTTCATTTATCCGTTGAGTCATACTGTATGCCTATAAACGATAATTCTCTATTTATTAAATATTTTACTTGGATTGATAGTTGCAAATATTCATTTTTACCATTTTCAATGTTAATTTCATTGAATATTTTAATTATTCGCAGCCTTTTACGTAGTAGACAAAAAAGTAAACTATTACAACAATCAACAACGTCTACAACGTATCCTATCTTGTTTTCATCATCCGCAAACAATAATACCCACAGTAATAGTCATACATTGCAACATAATCACAATTATCGTCGTGTTAATCGACGATTAACATCGATGTTATTGACTGTCTCATTTGCTTTTTGTATCTGTTCAATGCCCATATCGATAATGCAAATAATTGATGCTATTTATCCAAATATTGATAAACGTTCCATTCAATTAACAGCGACGATATCGATTGGAAAAATTATTGCAGAAATATCGCAATATATTAATCACAGCATTAACTTCTTTTTATACGCATTTACCGGACGGATATTTCGACATGAACTTCACCGTCTATTTTTATTTTGTTTTTGTCATCATCGTCTTCAGCCTTATCAATTTTTCACAGCAAAGAAGAGTGCAAGAGAACAAAATCAATTATATTCAAATACGACAAGATCAATCTCTCATAAACGTCATCTATCAACAACATTAGATACTGAACGAACTCGTCGATTATCCTCGATTGCATTAACAAGTTCCTCCATCTATCCGCATGTCGCTAGTCCACGAACATCAATCGTTTCTGAACAGTGTCGTTATTCTTTTCTCCAACGTTTTGGTGAAGATGATGAAACAACAAATATTGCAAATTCATTAAATGTATCACATCACCAACGTAACGAAATACGTATTTCAGATGTATCAAGTGAAACAACACAAACACTTTTAGACTTAAAGCTAAAGAAAATCGATATAGAAGCAAATGAAAATAAAACAAAGATGCGTGCTGCTCTAATCACGCTAGTAGAGACAATGAAAAATCAGAATCATATACAGAAAACGGTAATAAAAAGTCCAACAAAAAGCTATATATACGGAATGACTGATATGCCCACATATCGATTGCGTTGATTTATATCAATTGTTCAGTTTTCCCGATTTTGTATTTATAAACAAAGCATATAATAAAAAAAAAGCTTCATATTCAAAGGAAAATTAGAATATTTAACGTTTTGTTGTATGGAGCTTTATAGAAAAACAGGAAGATTAATTCGCCACTTGGACGCTGACCGTCTGAAGAGAGAACTTGATACAAAGGAAAGATCGTCTTACAAAGAAAATCGTTTTACATATCTTATCCTTCTTTCTTTTTTTCTCTCACATTAGGACATAGATTTGGTAGCCACACCACAGATAAACAGCGAAACAGAATTATATTTGACCACACAAAATCACAGAGATTATCAAAAATGGCTTTATTTTTACGTGATGAAAAATTTACAATTCTTTTGTCAGATCTACTCCGTAGTAGTCATTTTAAGTAATATTTTCTTTGATAATGCACAAAAAAATTATTTGCAACGTTTCTATTCAACATAATACACATTCTATAAAAATCATGTTCATACAACTAAATACTACCTTTTATATACCTTTTATATAGACAGACATTTTTTATATTTTTTCTGTGCAGTTGGAAGAGAAAATGTAGAACGAAGATCAAAAGTTGAAACACGAAACATACAATAGATCATACGTAAACAGCGACGGTGAAAAGAATAGACACAGTTTTTGGCAGTAGGAGAACATAAACAATAGATTGCTGATAGCATATAACTATGAGGCCAGGTGTATGTGTTAAAGAGCCGGTTTTAGAGAAAAAAATTCTGAAAATTGACAATGAGTTAAGATAGATTTTCGGAGTTTGATGACTGAGCCTCAATCATCCCACGAAATAAAAGTTTAGAGACATTAAAGAGACCTAACTATTTACATATTTTTTTTTATACTATTCGTTGATTTTGATAGACAATATTCAGCGTGATACATTGGACCAATAAACTACAAATTCAGTTTTTCCTATGTCTGATGCCAATTATCGGCATATTTATTCAGTCTAGCAATGTAAGTACGATTTTCCAATTCTTATATTTGTTTACAGTATTTCAAGAATATTGATGGTATATATACATCGGCTAGGTCATCGATACAGGCTTCATAAATATTCTACTTTTCCTGCTTTTCCTACTGTTCACTGGAAACGACCCACTTTGTTCTATTTTCAGAATTTTATCATAAATTTCCTGCTTTTTCATGTTGTTTCCTTTTTCTAAAATTCTACATAAAAAGATTTGGGTGTTCTACGTTTTACAAATTTTCATCTTATTAATAACATCATTATGTATGACTTTCACGTGTTTGCTTTTTGATATTTTAACCTCTCTGCGTTACTTTCCTCGAAAAGAAAAATCATGTGATCGATTGCGAATACACTTTTTTATAATCAAAACATGCAGAATTTAATTCTTTGCAAAAATATATGGTCAGTTCCAGCATTCCTCTATATAACATTTAAAATATTAAAATCTTAATTTTCAAACCTTCTCCACTTATTAATCTATTTGAACATATCATATCGAGCAAATAACCCGTATTGAATTAAAATAAAACACACTAATATATTCTACAGAAAATTCGGTGTGCGAGTCCGTCTTCCTGAAATTTGAAGGAAATATACTGGTAATACCGTAACGTTTACTTAATTAACGTATGATTGAATTGTCACCAACTAAAAAAGTAAGAAAGAGAAATGGAGCTAACGCACTGAAGTGGACGTCATGTTTTCCCAGAAAAAATGCCGATTAATTTTCAAAAGTATCCTCTTTAAGACTTTTTAGTTTCGTATACTACATACATCAAAAGAGTAGGTATAGTTTCCTGCTGTTTATGTTTTTTTGTTTATCTTGTCAGTTGCACCAGAACATTAAAAGCGTGCAAAATCTTTATCGGAAATTCTTAATTTATATATCCACTGAAAATGAAAAAAGTGCATGAGTTATAGTTAACAGATCTCATTATACCAAAGCAGTGGCCAGAGGAAAAAAAACCTGCGCCTGTTCTCACTTTTTGATTTTTGTTAATACAAACTCTGTCGATATATGGATGCATGTTTTCTGGATTTTTAAATATTTTTGGTAAATCATATCTATTTACAATGTTGTCAATCGGCCTAAACACAAAACCTTGTGGAACACCTCAATACATCAATTTCATTTGAATAATATCCATTATAATCAATGATAACAGTTCTACCTTGAAAACATTTTACAACCAATAATAGGTATGATCTGGAAAGTGAAAATATGAACGATAGAACTGACATTATCCAAATCTTTTTGTCTGATCAATAAAAAGGTTAAACGCTATCAAGTATCAATGTCGATTTATCCAAGACAACATTCACATTATTCAGCAACAAAACATCTGTAGACACCTTTTGAATAAATCTTAATTCAGAAAAAACTTTTTTCTGATGCTGTGGTTATAATGAACAACGATGGACTAGAAATGCTCGATCATTTCAGCTTCTCTACCACAGGCACACGAAGAAATGCATTTCCGTTTATGTAGATAATGGTGTAACTGTGGAAATTGGCTTTAAGACGCATAAAGCGAATTTCAGCGATCCTATTTGAAAAAGATAATCGTTTTAGAAACGAAACATTATTTTATTTAGCTAAAAATTTCTGTATCATCATCTCTCGTAGTTGTTTTATTTTAACATTCTGATATTCAGGTGATGAATTCATCGCCTCATTCTACACAGTAAAAGAAAAAGCGTCCAAAAGTTGACGATATTTAATGGGCGGTTTTTTCGTCCCATCTTAGTATGCCTCTTTTGCTAGACGGTTTTTTTTCTAGACGAATTTCTTCGTATGTTTTTTTTGTTAGATAGAAAAACAAAACTTGAAAAGATTTCTAAATAATATTTTACTCAGTTTTTAACGCACTATACTTTGGAAGTGCGCCTGATCTGCTGGACCGATCCACTATCACAGGAAATCAGCCGTTTCTGAGATAAGCTAGTGCAGTGAAAAGAGTCATCTACGGGGTGATCCAAAAAAAACTTACCCCCTGTGTATTTATTGACTTTCTTGTGTACTAATATAATTGAACTTTTTATCATTAGTTTATTCAAATAGAGCAAAGATTTCTGGACAAAATGAGACGTCTCCGAGCTCTCTAAGAACTTTTTTCATGAAACAGCATTCAATTTACGGAAGGTCCCAAGAGCATATTTTTTCTTGTTTGCCCATT